GGAAGCGCCGGCCGGGGGCGCAGGGTCTGGGGGCTGCCCGGCAAACCGTGAAGCCGGTAGCGCTCGGGCATCCCTTTTCGCGTGGGTGGGAGTGGGAGGGAGGAGGGGCGGAGTTAGGGCGGGGAAGGGGCGGGGTTGGGGCTGGGCTGGGGGTGGGGAAATGGGCGTGGCCAGGGCCCCGTGGAGGGTCCTCTTTTTTTATTTGTTAGATATGGTAACCCTAGTTCAGTAAGTTTGCACAGGGGTAGCTCATTGAAATTTATAATACTGTTCTGACACGAGTTGAATAGGTTCCAGCTCTCTCACTTGTATCTGTGTTCGATCTGCAGGTCATAAGGAGTAAAAAGCAGCAAAGACTTATTTTTGACAGTAAAAGTGGTAGATTTGAGTTGGAATAGATCTGTGGAATAAGAACGTGCCGCTTTGACAGTCACTCTTTTGAGTAGAAATACACCATAAGATCCTTCCTTTTATGCTCTGTGCATTAAAACTCGGGCATTTGGTACGAGGAAATGTAGCTTAGTCATGATGTGGTCTTTACTTCCAATTTGTGTTCTTATTTCTGAACGCTTACAGTTACCTAATCTGGTAAATAATGAGTTTACGGAAATAGCTACATATGTGATTACTGAATCCTTGTCTTCTGTAAATAAATATTTAGAAGGAAATAGTGTTCTGATGCTATGGTGATTAGCTTATAAATACCTAGATATAACATGCAAACATATAAAAAAGTTAACATAAAGCTGTAGCAGGGTATAGTTGATCTTGAAGAGCAATCATATCTGTTCAAAGAACATTAAACTCAAGTTACTTGTACACCTGCTCATCACACTCAGGATGTGTAGCGGAGGAAACATAGTAATTTAAATAAATAGCTTTTTTTTTTTTTTAAATTAGGCATTAATTTTAAATTAGGTTCCCCTTGAGTGGGATAAGTAAGTGTTCAATTGAATCGTTTTGGAATATGGTACGACTTAAAAAAAAAAATTGACTACACAAATTAACTAAATTCTATATTTGGCATTTACTAACATGGGTCCTGATACAGAAATGTAGTTAGGTACATTTGTAATCTCACTAAATTTAGTGGGACTACTCATGCTTAAAGTTAAGCACAAGCTTAACTACTGTGCTGGTTCAGTGCCAGAGGCCCCAGTCCTACAATCTGATCCAGGTGTACCCTTAAGTACCTTACAGGATTGGAACTGTAATTTCTGTCCTTCTGGTGGGAAGGCTGAGGAAGAGGAAGAGTTGTATTGTGGAGATATTTAATTGTAGTCTCATCAAGAAACATTAATAAAGAGGAATCTGGAGGAAATGAGCTTGTGGATGCTGTGTGAGTATCTGGGAAATTCTGGCAAGGACATGAATTGGGCACTGAATCGAAGAAATGGAGTTTAGAGATACCAGCATCTTGATAATCACTCAGTTTTTAAAACATGAGTTGAAAGTGGTTTCAGATACTGCACCAGTCCCTTAGGGTATGTCTATACTTACTTCCTGGTCCGGATGTAAGCGATCGATCTTCTGGGATCGATTTATCACGTCTTGTCTAGACGCGATAAATCGATCCCGGATCGATCCCGGAAGTGCTTGCTGTCGACGCCGGTACTCCAGCTCAGCGAGAGGAGTACGCGGCATCGACGGGGGAGCCTGCCTGCAGCGTCTGGACCCGCGGTAAGTTCGAACTAAGGTACTTCGAATTCAGCTATGTTATTAACGTAGCTGAATTTGCGTACCTTAGTTCGAAGTGGGGGGTTAGTGTGGACCAGGCATTAGTATACCTGCCAACTTTTTGTTATGCATCATGTTGCGAATGCATATACATATAGACCAGTGTATGTGGTGTATAAACAGTTCAGTAATTTTTGTGCAGTTTTGTTTTGTGTTCTGTGTAGTTGCTGTTTTTTTTAAGTCATAATCAGAAGGTAGATGGCAGTGATCTATAGTAGATGTTTGGTAGGGTATTTGATAAGGTAAGAAACTTTGAGTGTATAATCAGCTTTGTGTCACTTCTCTGATGTATGGCGTGAAGAAATGCTAAGACTACAAGTTTTAGTATAATAGCCATTAAATTATTAATTGTAGTGTTGGAAGATCAAAGTTAAGGTGCTGTGTGGGATTTTCAGTTTTTTGACTTGTGGAAAGTCAGAATGTCAGAGAGGACGTTAGTGTGTTAGTGGTATTGAGTGTTGTTATGGCAGTGGGTTAATGCCTGGAGATTGATGATGTGGATATTGACTTAATTTCTGATTATCTTTGCAGATATGCTTCATGTCAGAAATGGCTGCATTTCAGTGGTGGATGAAGTGATTGCATTGTGTGTATAGTTTGAGAAACACTTTGAGATTAAAAGGTGCTATATACTGTACATGTAAAATGTTATCTGACCATTTTGCCTTTCTGTGTCATTCTCTTCCTTTTTGGAATACTTTTTTCTCTTTTTACCTCCAATTTAGTTTGTATGGCTGTTTTCTCTAACCATTGAATTAGTTGGATGTAATTTTGGTTTATTCTGTACAGTGTATGAGGAAGGGTGCTAGTTTCAGGATTGATGCTTTATATATTATTAAAACAAATACATTTAAAGGTTAAAACAAACCTGCTTATCTGTTTGAACTGCGAGATATTACTTAGAGCACATTAATGAGTCTGCAGATAAGAAATGAATGTTCTGAGTCTCTTTGCAGAGCCTGGTCCATCGTCTCTTGGCAGTATGCTCATGCCAGTCCAGGAAACAGAATGGGAGGAACTCATTCGTACTGGTCAGATGACCCCTTTTGGAACTAAGGTCCCTCAGAAGATAGAAAAGAAGCCACGCAGGTTAATGCTAAATGAAGCATCTGATTTTGAGAAGTATTTGGCAGATCAAGCTAAGCTGTCGTCCGAAAGAAAGAGGTCAGCCCTTAAGAAGGGAGCAAAGAATAAAACAGAGGCCAAGAACATTCAATGTGCAACTCCCACATTAGTCATAAAGGGAAAGAGGGGCAAAACCAGAACCCTGTCAAAAACAGACAAGCGACTGAAAAAGCACATGAAGAAACTTCAGAACCATGCTCTTCAGATCCAATTTAAGATTGGAATTCCCAAGGAAAAGAGACTTCCTGAGGTCAAGGAGAAGCTGAGAGGTGAACAGGGGGATGACAGTGAAGAGTCAGAATATATGCCTGATGAGGAGCTTTTTAATCCAGAAGAGGAAGAGGAGGAGGAGGAGGCATTTTTTCATGCTGATGATAATTCTGATTATGAATTGAAGACTTTGCGAGGAGGAAGAAAACATTCAGGGAAGAGAAACCTTAAGGAAGAAGCTGAGGAGGATGAAGACTTCTTCCCAAGCTCTGAGGAAGAGGAAGAGAATACAGTAGGAAATCGTAAAGTAAAGAGATGCAGAGATGATGGAGATGAAGATTACTATAAACAAAGGCTAAGGTTAGTCCAAGAAGGCTTTATGTTAGTAACTTTTATAGGTGATATCACACACACAGTGGCTGAAATATACATCCAAGAACTCAGCTGAAGGGAGGGGGTTGTAAAATTAAACGTAGACTGAGTCAATAAAAATATCCACATGCAGACTTCTAAAAGGCTGTTATGATATTGGGAATATTCTATAATTATAAAGACCCCAGTGTCTGATTTCCTGCTGTTAAAGAGCTTGCTTTGTGAAATAAACAATTTCTACTTCATTGTTTTTCAGTGTGGCCAAAAATCAATACATGAAAAATAAGGCAGTTTGGGGGATTGTGTGGTATTACTAAATAATAATTCTGTTTACTTCTGTAGCACTTTGTAAAGGATTTTGTATGCTTTACAGAGATGTGCAAATATCATTCCTCCTATTGTACAGATAGGAATACTCAAGTATGGGGAGATTGTAACTTGCCAAATGTCTTGCACACACAATCACTGATAGACCTGAGAATAAAAGCTAGGAGTTCTGAGTCCTAGTCTTCTGCTATAACCCATTGATTTTGCTGCCCAAGAGGAATTAACTCTTGAATTAGTGGTAGTTTTGTACAGTAGTATTTTTATATAGCCTGTTGAGTGTTTGGAGGCCTTTCAACAGGAAGTTCTGATGTCTTAGTGCGAATGGGAACTCTGCTACAATGAAAATTAGTTTTAGACCAGACATGGGCAAACTACGGCCCGCGGGACTGTCCTGCCTGGCCCCTGAGCTCCTGGCCGGGGAGCCTAGTCCCCGGCCCCTCCCCCGCTGTACCCCCTTTCCCGCAGCCACGCCGCTGCGCAGACCATGCTCTGGCCTGCCACTCCCGCTGGGCAGCGTGGGGAGCGCAGCTGGCTCTGGCCGCGCATCGTGGCTGCGAGCTCCTGCTGCTGGTAAGGGGGCGGGGAGCAGGGGGGTTGGGTAAGGGAGCGGGGGATCCTGTGGGGCAGTCAGGGAGGAGGGGCGGAGGTTCGGGGCGGGCAGCCAGGGGATGGGGCATAGGGAGGGTTGGGAGGGGGGGCCTGTCAGGGGGCGGGGATGTGGATAGGGGTTGGGGGGGCAGTCAGGGGACAGGGAGTGGGGGGAGGGGTTGGATAAGGGGGTGGGATCCTGGGGGGCAGTTAGGGGCGGGGGGGTCCCGGGAGAGGGTGCCTTTTTGTGTCATTCTCTTCCTTTTGGAACACTTTTTTCTCTTTTTACCTCCAGTTTAGTTTGTATGGCTGTTTTCTCTAACCATGTTTTCTCTAACTCCTTGAAAAATGCCAACTCTCATGAACTGTTTTTCTCCTTAGACTTGCTTCCCATGGGATCTTACCTACGAACTCCTTGAGTTTGTTAAAGCTGCCTTCTTGAAATTCATTATCTTTATTGTGCTTTGTTCCCTTTTACCATTCCTTAGGCCTGGTCCACACTAACCCCCCAATTCGAACTAAGGTACGCAAATTCAGCTACGTTAATAACATAGCTGAATTCGACATACCTTAGTTCGAACTTACCGCGGTTCAGACGCGGTCCACACGCGGCAGGCAGGCTCCCCGTCGACTCCGCGGTACTCCTCTCGCTGAGCTGGAGTACCGCAGTCGACGGCGAGCACTTCCTGGTTCGACTTATCGCGTCCAGACCAGACGCGATAAGTCGAACCCGGAACTTCGATCCCCAGCCGCCGAACTAGCGGCTGGGTGTAGACCAGCCCTTAGAATCATGAACTCTTTCATTTCATGATCGCTTTCACCCAAGCTGCCTTCCACTTTCAAATTCTCAACCAGTTCCTCCCTATTTGTCAAAATCAAATCTATAACAGCCTGTCTTATAGTAGATTTCTCCACCTTCTGAAATAAAAAATTGTTTCCAATACATTCCAAGAACTTGTTGGATAATCTGTGCCGTAGTGTGTTATATTCCCAACAGATGTCTGAGTAGTTGAAGTCCCCCTTCACCACCAAGTCCTGTGCTATGGCTGATTTTGTTAGTTGCTTAAAAAAAGCCTCATCCACCTCTTCTTCCTGGTTAGGTGATCTGTAGTA